AACAAAATAATGGTTTATTGTTGCAGCAATTGATATCATTTAAACATAAATATCAGTGAGAGAGGATGATTATTACCTTGAGGGACATAGAGAAAGCTACACACAATTTTGATAGAGATCATGTGATTGGTGGGGAGGGCATGGAGTAGTGTTTAAAGGAATTCTGGATCAACATGTTGTGGCAATCAAGAAATCAAAGATTGTGGTACAAAGGAAATAGATGAATTCATAAATGAAGTTGTGGTTCTTTCTCAAGTGAACCACAGAAATGTGGTTAAGCTCTTAGGATGTTGTCTTGAGACAGCAGTTCCACTCCTAATTTATGAGTTCATTTCAAATGGAACCCTTTATCATCATCTTCATGTTGAGGAAGCAATATCATTAACATGGGCGGACCGATTAAGAATTGCACTTGAAGTTGCTAGAGCACTGTCCTACCTACATTCATCTCGCTTCAATGCCAATATTTCATAGAGATATTAAAACCGCCAACATACTTCTTGATGACAGTTTAGTTGCAAAGGTATCGGACTTTGGTGCTTCAAGGTACATCACAATTGATCAAACCGGAGTGACTACAGCCATTCAAGGAACAATTGGTTACTTAGACCCCCCATGTATTCTGATGCAGGGTCGGCTAACCGACAAGAGTGATGTTTTTAGTTTTGGTGTTGTTCTTATAGAATTGCTCACTAGAAAGAAACCTTTTCTCTACCGCTCGACAATGGTGATGGCATTGTTTCACATTTTGCCTCACGACTTATAGAAGACAAACTGGTTGACATAATAGATCCTCAAGTCATGGAGGAAGAAGATGGAGAGATCATAGAAGTAGCCACACTTGCAACATTATGTACCAAATTAAAGGGAGAAGATCGGCCTACAATGAGAGAAGTGGAGATGACACTTGAGAATTTACTTTTTAAGAAGAAGCATCCCCTTGTAATACATCATCAAGGAGATATGGTCAGAATAAAAATAGCTACAAACCAATGAGTGAGCAGATTACCAATGAAGCAAGCAGACAATACACTATGGAAGAGGAAATCTTGTTGTCGGCGACATATGCCAGGTGATACTATGCAGTTCAAAGTTAGGATGCTTCATATATACAGAAATTCAAATGAATAGGAAGCCAATGAAAAATGTCACTTCCTTTGTTATCTTGTAAATTATAGTCCCAGTCTCTTTGTCAATAAATTTGTTTGAATGCTGAGTTTGTATAGTTCCATGAATGACCTCTATTAAGCTGATGGTTGTTCTACTAAATATTTGTCAATGTAACGTGAAATGTCCTCCCAAATTTTTATGGTTGTTCTATCAAGCTGATGGTTCTTCTCCTAATTTTTTATTGGGCCACCACAGGCCACACTTTACTAAGGCGGGCGACTTAAAAGTTTGACTCAAACCCTTTTAAGATGTCCATATCTATTAATTAATTTTTAGAGACATTTGCCTATTAGGCTAGCTGTCTCTGTAAATTGATCCAACACCTCTAAGAATTGATGACTGCTTAGGATATGTAGACAGTTTTGACCCACCTGTGTAAATAAAACGAGGTGTCTCCTAAAATTATTTTTAATAGTTTTGGTAAATCTAATTATTGACACTTTAAATGACGTGAAGATTAGCGAACAGCTTACCACTGTAAGATCTAGTTTCTAACAAAAATAATGTCAATAGTTCGTTGGAGGTCTAAAGTAACATATATACTACACGTAAGTCCGAGTCAAGTCATCATCCCGGTCGTGTATGAGACTATGAGGCCACAAAGCTGGTGGTTTCGGGCCTAAACACACCTTTTTTTAGATAATGGAATAAAGTTCTAGCCTCTACCATCTGGAGATAGTACACAGCCGGGGCCTAAACACACCTTTAGCGCTACGACTGAATCATGATCTTAATTGCTAAAACAGAGAATGGACGCTTCATATTTGTTTGGGTGTACAGTATAATAATCTGTCCTAGTTGCAAGGTTAAGGCCTTATTGTCTAAGTAACTAGCCAGTAGCTGCCGTATAATAAATTTATGTAATTAGTTTATTCTTGTCGCCCGATTTTGAATTCTATCAAATTTGTTGATGCTATATATATATCTTTGAACCCATTGCAATTTTGTTGTACCGTCAGCCTTTGTGTACGTAGTTTAATTTTCTGAAAGGTTAAAACTGACTGAGCTGTTAAAAAATTCCAATGCGAAAGCAAAAATGAATGAAAAATCATAGGTTAATTATACTTCTGTTTTCATTTGTCTTATAATTAGATTATTTCAGCTTCGTAGCACTTATAGAGAATATTTGTAGGAACAGTTAGAATAAACTAGTAGGGAAAACTTCTAGAGATATGGTTGCCAAACACTCCCGTCGAAATCATTTTTCAGGAATTATAAGACCGATGTAAATATGGTAATCGTCTTTCACAAGTTGTGCAATTTTTCCATTCACGTGCTTCTCCCAAAATTTGCTTCTTCAACTATTCTTTGTTTGGTACTGCAAGCACTGTCTCAAATCATTACACTTTGTATCTACCCAAATGAAAACTTTTTGTACTTGGGATCAGCCAACTTCTCCCTAATTTCGGCTAAATCTTCACCAACTCGTTGCCCTTCCTTGATTTCCCTTAGCAAGTGAGATATCACTTGAAGCATTGCTAAGGAACTTTGCTAGACTAGAGGCAAATCCAACTTCTACATTTCCTTGCACAAGGAATCTTCATATCGGGCCACCCTGCAATCACAACTTGATTTGCAATTCAAGGTGTTGGCTACTCTGTTAGCCTTACACGGGTGGTATTGGATGTTCAAGTCATAATCTTTGATTAAATCTAGCAATCTTGGCCCCAGCGGCGACCATAACATCAGATGGGACACTTGCCCTGAAATTCCAAGTCCAGGTCGTCCTTCCACTAATACCATCGCTACCAGCTGGAATGCTTGTCCAACGCAAGAGAGATTTTCATTGTTCTTTGTGGAGCTACCAGTTGTTACAGTCTCAGCATAAAACTGTGTACCATCTCCAGAAACAAGCCCTTGCAGACCTCCGATACAACGATGTGCTCCACTGGAGTCCTACTAGCTCGCGCATGTGCTGTGCTCATGTGTTTGGCCGTCGTGGCGCGAGCACCGCCGGCCAAGGTCCATGCCGCCGGGACAGGGAATGGGCACCTTGGTATCCCTACCAATGCCTCCCTGGCGCACTGTCCCTCCTACTGTGGGGATGTCGAAATCTCGTACCCCTTTGGGATAGGACCGGGCTGCTTCCGGCAAGGCATCGAGTTCGAGCTCAGCTGCGACAACACAACTGGTTCTCCCAGGCTGTTCCTAGGAAACTCAACTCAGGTGACTTCTATAGATGTCGGCAGCAATATGGCTTATTCTTCTGCTATTGGCTACAATATCACCATGGGCTTAGGTGTGGACACCTACACTCAATCCTGGGAGGCCCCTACTGGTGTTGTTATTGATTATGAAAACAGTATATATGTAGTTGGATGTGGTGTCGACATCTACATGTTCGGTGATAATACGACAGATGTCATTGGTTCTTGCATGAGTATTTGCACAGATAACAGAGAGATCATGGAGAGGGCAAACAAGGGCTACGGTGCCTGTGAAGGGTTTGGCTGCTGCGCCATCGGGTGGTCATTAGCGGGCCGGCAAGCATTTACTCTCAAGCTTGGCCGCCGCAATAGTAACAGGGGAAATTCCGTAATAAAATTTAACTGGCACTCTGCGATTCCTTTCCGCCCAAATGCACCAGCATAAAAGAATGAAGAAGTCCATGAAGAATGGGATGTTGAACTGGACTTTGAACAATTCCAGATCTTAAAATCTTGAGCACAAACTTGTGGGAAGTGAAAATTGGTAATGCTCAACTAGGAGCTTCTAGCAAAGAGCGTGCATGTAGAGGTGCTCCAGAATTTCTTGAGAGCAAATTGTGCATAGGGCACAATCGAAGTTGTCCAAGTACATATTTTCTACAGTGTGCTCTACCTTTTCGTTAGAGTAGAAAAAAGTACCAAGGCCACATACTTGGCCCTTCAACCCGACCCTCTCTGATTAAACAAAAAACACAGAACATCTTAAAAATAGATTTAGCTCACATCATGGATAGTAACTCGTGAGAAGACTTATATAACGACGGTCAAGCAAGCCCCACTAGTTTTTGCTACAGAACGAGCGAGCTATAAAAATGAATTACTTCCGAGGTTTCTGTTGACGGCTACCTTACCTGTGCCTGCGGGAACAGGTAAGCCCGTGGCGGTGGTTTCCAGTCTTTTCATGATATAAATTCTTCCTGTTATCGCTAGCTGTACCTGTAAGGATTGCAATATATGTAGACTCAACGAGCAATAGCTTTCTTAGTACATTTCTTTGTTTATTAATTTTTCTATAAAAAATAGATATAAGATTATGAAACATCTCAGTTGCTGGCATCTTTTATGGTAACTCGAGAGAAGACTTTACAGGTCAACACCGATAACAATAGCTAGACATTTCAAACTTTTGTGAGAATTTGTAGAATTTATCCTTTCTAGCACATGTCTTAAGCGAATCGACACGACGTATCTTGTGATAGTTGCGGGAAGGAATCTTCCTGTTAGTAACAGTAACTCTAAACTCATGGCTTTTCTCTCGTTTTTAGGCACGGAGATCGAGAACAAGGACATCATTGTTTTCATTAATACATACAGAAAAGACAGGAGGAATAGTGGAGTACTCCACATCTCCCTCGGCAAGTCTTCTTGGTCCAGCGACGACCGTAACATCAGATGGGACACTTGCCCTGAAATTCCAAGTCCAGGTCGTCCTTCCACTAATACCATCGCTACCAGATGGAATGCTTGTCCAACGCAAGAGAGATTTTTATTATTCTTTGTGGAGCTACCAGTTGTTACAGTCTCAGCATAAAACTGTGTAGATCGACACAGTACGCCACTCACCGCACCATCCAACATCTGACCATCTCCAGAAACAAGCCCTTGCAGACCTCCGATACAACGATGTGCTCCACTGGAGTCCTACTAGCTCGCGCATGTGCTGTGCTCATGTGTTTGGCCGTCGTGGCGCGAGCACCGCCGGCCAAGGTCCATGCCATGGGGACAGGGAATGGGCACCTTGGTATCCCTACCAATGCCTCCCTGGCGCACTGTCCCTCCTACTGTGGGGATGTCAAAATCTCGTACCCCTTTGGGATAGGGCCGGGCTGCTTCCGGCAAGGCTTCGAGCTCACCTGCGACAGCACAACTGGTTCTCCCAGGCTCATCTTCCAGCTGGGAAACAACTCGACTCAGGTGACTTCTATAGATGTCGGCAGCAATTATGTTTGGGCTTCTGCTGTTGGGTACAATATCACCATGGGCTTAGGTGTGGACACCTACACTCAATCCTGGGAGGCCCCTACTGGTGTTGTTATCGATTCTATGAACAGTATATATGTAGTTGGATGTGGTGTCGACATCTACATGTTCGGTGATAATACGACAGATCTCATTGGTTCTTGCATGAGTATTTGCCCAGATAATAGAGAGATCATGGAGAGGGCAAACATGGGCTACGGTGCCTGTGAAGGGTTTGGCTGCTGCGCCATCTGGTCATCATTAGCGGGCCGGCAAGCAATTACTCTCAAGCTTGGCCGCCGCAATAGTACGATTGCACTGTTAGATGAGGCGCGCTCTAGTATCAAGGTCATCTTTTCGGAATACTATCACTTCGTTATAGGTGATCTTTATGCAAGTTGGGTGAATACAAGCAATGTTCGAGGTATGTTACTTGACATTGCAATCACGGACCGACCAAGCTGCGCAAGTGCCCAATCCCAAGAGAACAACGATACCTATGCATGTAATAGTGAAAGCATCTGCAGGGATCTACCAGTATCTCGAGGAGGCTACAATTGCTTCTGCCCTGGTCAAATGGAAGGCAACCCCTATGTTGTAGCTGGCTGCATAGGTTCGTGTGCCTCTCTCTGCTTCTTTTTTCGCATGACTTAATATTTTAAAGTGGCATGTAGACATTTTCTATATTTATTGCATTATCTCTATTATTACCAATCTGAAAGCACCCACAAATTTTGTCACACATGCATGTGGATTATATTGTTGTGTTACTCAAGATTAAAATAATGTGTTGATCCCTGCACTTGCAGTATTTATTGTCATACATATCAAATGCCTTTGCTGCTGAACTAATTAAACTGGCTAGTTTATTCGTCTCAAATAATAAATGACTTACTACTTTCCTTGGATTAATCCTAATTCCTCACTTTGTGTACCATGAAGCAGATTACAATCCAAAGGCACCCAATGACAACTGTACGAGATTATGTGGAAACATAACCATTCCATTTCCTTTTGGGATTGAAGAAGGCTGTTTCGCAAATGATAACCTACGACTCAACTGCACAAGTAACAACACTACTATTCTAGATCGAGGGTACGCACAATATCGTGTGACCAATTTATCACTCGATGATGGGCTTATGACGGTTACAAACATGCTGAATGACACAAGCTCCAACAATATGGAGAGAGTAGTCATCACTGACTATGATGGTCAATATCAAAGTTTCTATCCAACTTACGAGGAGGTTGTGGATGATAATTTTGATTTCTCTCAGGAGTTTGTAGTAATAAAATGGGCTATAGCAAATATAACTTGTCAGAAAGCTATGTTGCATAATGATACATATGCGTGCATAAGTGACAACAGTTTACGCATAGAAGTCATGCGAGGCAAAACACATGATGGGTACCGCTGCAAGTGTTCGATGGCTTTCAAGGAAATCCGTACCTTAAAAATAGTTGTACAGGTTATATTTCTCTCTTATATAAACTTATTTGCACTAAGTTTTTTGTTTCTCTAATACTAATCTATCTAATCGTGCTATTACACATGCTAAATTTTAAGAGACAAAAATATTACAAGTTACGGATAGGATCTCCAACTAATTGCTTATTTTTTCTCTCTATGGTTGTGATACACTTGGGGCGTACCTGCCATAGAAAATGGGGACTGGCCCACGAATTGAACCAACCAACTCAGCCCACCATCCCTCATGGGTGTAATTGGTTATAACCGGTTGTAGTTGGTCACGACTCACAATTGGGGCCTGGTTGCAACTAGTCACAAGTCGCGACTGGAGTCTAGTTACAACTGAGCTATGACTGGCTTAGGGTCTATTTGGCTAGACTAGAACTAGTGATTAGCCCAGCCCTATTTGGATCCACTCGCTAATAAGTTGTACCATCTCAATACAGAGTCTGTTATGCCCCTGAGTTCGTCTTCTCCAATGTTCTCCCGGATCTAGCTAGAGGCGGCCTGTGAGTGGGGGGCCCTCGGGAGGGCTGGCGGGCTGGAGGCCATAGGCGTGGGGGGCTGCACTAGACGGGCTCTTTGGAGCGGAGGTGGGGTAGTGGTCAGAGAAGAGAGAGGCGGTGGGTGGCAACCGGAGAAGAGGGAGAGGTGCGGGTCGAGGTGGGGGCAGCTCCGGCCATGCGTCCTCGCCACGCACCTGCCATGTGTCATGGGTCCTCGTGCACACCGGAGAAGAGGGAGAGGAGGTGCTTGGTCGCGCCTCGGAGCCTCGCACGCACTTTGGAGAAGAGGGACTGGCACTAGTCGTCGGGGCCGGATTGTATTCTCTAGTAGTCATGATAGTTACTATATAGCCTTACTATATAGTTTACAATGTAGTTACCAATTAATTGTTTTTCCATCCATATTCATATTTCCCATGTGCATCACACCTTAGGTGAATTTTAATGTGATTAGTTGTAACTTTAGCTTGAGTTATGCTAGGTCTGGTTGTATCCCGCGTGTCATGACTCTAATGCTTATCAATATTCGTTTAGTTGCTTCAAATTTTTGTATCCTCATGTTAGATTGAAATTGTCAGTGTTTCATCTCACTGACAAGTAAAGTTTTGTGTCACACATGAGTTCTGATGGGGAGAGACAAAGTATTATATTGGTTTTGGTGATTGAGCCCTACATCCAGTGTGGGAAGCAGAGTTCTATTGTTGTGCCCAAGTGCTTGGAGTTCGGGTAGCACTATCATAGAACAATTTTTTTAGAGATGGGCATAACAGATTTTTGGAGGCAGACTACCCACCTGCCTTTGCTAAGGGTCACAATCAGTTAGTAATTACAGAGGTGGTGGTTATGCTCGTCTCTACAAAACGAAGGAAAAATAAAAACTCAGCCTACGGGCTTAGTCCAAGCCCGGAGATCCGCCACTGCCAGACCACCGGCCGTCCATCAAGGTCGTCCTCGGAAATTCGCCGCCTAAGCCTGTCGACCGTCCTCAGAGATCCAAAGTTGCCAAGCTCACCCGGCATCCTTGCCACCATCCGTGGAGATCCACTGTTCATCCTCACCTTCGTCTCTAGATATTGAAAGCATAGATACAGCTATTGTCAATTCCCACTATGAGCCCAATCGACCTCCCCACTCATTCTCCCTACTTGTCCTCCCAGCCATCCTCCTAATCCATCCTCCCCACTCATCACCCCAGGTCATCCTCGCCGTTGTCAATTCCCACTGTCGAGACCATTACAAACAAAGTGACGGAGACAGAGATAGAGTCTGAGGGTTGGAGGGAGAGAGGTCATCACTCATACCTTCAATATGGTGGCAGCACTTGGTCCATCGCGCACTTTTCCTAGATCCGCATGGCGACGACCTCCGCCTCCTAAGTTCTCGTTGTCGCCTGTATCCTTGTATTCAATGCATGATCAAGCCTCCATGGGTGGATCGTCGCCCCCTCCGCTTAGATCCGCATAGCCATGAGCCCCATACGCCGCCGCAATCACAAGCATAACCATGGAGCATAGGCAGTCATGAGCTCCGGCCATCGCCGCAAGCATAAGTGCTCAGATCAAAGATGGTGGAGGGGCGTTGGTCAGAGGAGAGAGCCAAGAAATGAGAGAGAGGCGACTGTGGGAGAACGAAGAGAGGTGGTTACGGGAGCATCCAACCCCTAAGTTTGGTGTGCGTGTGTGTGTATACATGCGAACAAAGTAATGGGCCTAGCTTTCAGGCTTTCGGCCTATTTCCTAAGGTGGACCTCTTATCCTTTGAAAATGTTATCTAGTTTTAGAGGCGATCCTTTTAAGAGGCTTGCCTCTAGAAATAGATGTATAGAGACATTTCTTTTTTCTACCTCTATAATTGGTTTGACTGCCTCTGTAAATCACCTGGTACTTTGGGAGATCAGAACACTTTATGCCCACCTCTGTTAATCAAGAGGCCAGTCTCCCAAAATAATTTTTGTAGTAGGTAGGGATGTGTTACAAGAGGTTGTGTGTAACCTATGTGGATTGCTCCTCGTTGCCTCTGGTTGGGCTCCCGAACCCCCTTTATATAGTCAAGGGGATGTGGTTTACATGTACAGTGAGTTGGCAGTGATCTCCCCATGCTTGGTGTGGTCTTATTGGACTAGCGGCCCCATGTGTCACTCGTCTGACTTGTGTTTTGGGTGATGTTCTTCTTGACAAGCAGAACAATTAGGGGCTATTTTCCTTTGTCAGCTCGTATGGAAGATGTCCATGATTGTTTTGTTGGATTCAACAAATAGGCATAGTATTTTCCCCATAGAGGTTAGGTGGGTGGCGACAAGGTTTGTACAAGTGTGTTGCACACTCTGCACCATCCGATATTGTGCCCAATGTACACCGTACTAGGTCAAGCAGAGAGGGGTGTTGTATCCCTTTAAGGATGTCATCAACTATGTCCTTTGGTTTTGTCCTTTGTGCTCCTAGCTTGTTCGAGTATCGCATAGTGTTCCACTCGGACCCTTAGTCAAGCTGATGTCTGAGGAGCCCTAGATCCCTTTAGCTTCTAATGCACAGTCCTTAATTCATTTGGCCAAATGAATTACCCAGAGGCATCGGGGACAATCGCTTAGACACTAATTGTGTTGGTATGCAATGTCCTTAATTCATTTGTATGTATTAATGGAAACAATGATGTCCTTGTTCTCGGATCTCCATGCCTAAAAATGAGAGAAAAGTCATGAGTTTAGAGTTACTGTTACTAACAGGAAGAAGGGGTGAGTGGAGGGATTTGGGGGCCTCTCAGATTTGAGGGCTTGAGTAGTTGGACCGCTGGACCTTTTTTGTTTCCAACCCTCAGATTTAGGGTAGGGTTGGGTTTAGTGGACCCGCTAGAGATGCTCTAGGTTTCTCCAATAATACATACAATTGTTCAGCGTGCCTTCAACAATAGCATATACAATTGTTTAGCCTATTGCTCAAATAGCATATACAATTGTTCAGCCTACTGCTCAACGCTTAAGATGTTGAATTTTTTCTAAGGATTATGTGTTGAGTAGTATACCTTTTTAAATAACAAATGCTTACAATTGGACTATAAATGTATATATGTCATAATTTTTTAGTTGAGATGTATGAATTGTCTAATGTAGCAACTCACATAATTTAATTTTGTAAATTATTAATATAATTTAAGTACATTATTAGAGTCACTGTGTTGATAAGGAAATATTTTTTTGTCCTTGTTAAACTGTGGAAATGTTTGCTTGTATATAGCTTGGTGCATGTCTATATGGTGGGACATAACATGTATGGATATTTAGAGTAGTATTTTATATATACCTATAGCGGTAGGAATGGATATTTTAGAAGAGTATTAGGGGTCACAATATCTCTTTTCACAAAACATATTTAGATAATGTATACATGGATTTAAGGGATTATTTTAGTTTATTTTATGTAATAAAACATATAGGTAATTAGATGCAAATTTGTGGATGGTTAATTTATGATATCTTACAAAATGGTAGAGGTGGGTAACTTGTATGAAAATTTAGGGTTTACTTTATATTATTTTTCGGGCAAAAGCGGATAACTTAGATATAGATTTGTAGGGTTATTGACTATTTGTTAATGACATATAAAGGGGGTGATTTTATTTATAAATAGAACAGATCCAATGACTATTGTTTTTCGACAAATCACAACAAATAAAGGGTCCGACAAGCACCACCAAGCGGTTCTACATGATCACACATCCCATTACTTTTCTTTAAATGACAATAAATGCATGCATGCTTTACTTGCATCACCAAACTTTATAACCATCTTACTGATACAGATATTGATGAGTGCGCTATTCCAAACAAATGCAATGGAATATGCCACAACTTTGATGGAGGCTTCAATTGTACAAGTTGCCGTCATTGGAAAGAGTATGATCCAAAAAAACACAAATGTGTCACGTCAGCTAAGCAGCATAATCTAATTCTCGGTGAGTCATGTGTTACGATCAAGAACTCCTTCTCAGGTTATTATAGTTCAATATGTGCAACATATTATCTCAGAGACTAAACCTTTCTCACTTCACCGCCTATTATTGTACTGTAAATTCTTTCTTCATGAATATGAACAAGCAAATTATATATATTTTAGGTTTAATCGCGGGACTAGGAATTGGTGGTGCCACAAGTCTTTTGATTCTTACACTCGCTGGCCCTTTTGTAGTGCATAAGATCAAGATATATAAAAAATGAAAGATAAATGTTTCAAACAAAATAATGGTTTATTGTTGCAGCAATTGATATCACTAAACGCATAAATATCAGTGAGAGGATGATTATTACCTTGAGGGACATAGAGAAAGCTACACACAATTTTGATAGAGATCATGTGATTGGTGGGGGAGGGCATGGAGTAGTGTTTAAAGGAATTCTGGATCAACATGTTGTGGCAATCAAGAAATCAAAGATTGTGGTACAAAGGGAAATAGATGAATTCATAAATGAAGTTGTGGTTCTTTCTCAAGTGAACCACAGAAATGTGGTTAAGCTCTTAGGATGTTGTCTTGAGACAGCAGTTCCACTCCTAATTTATGAGTTCATTTCAAATGGAACCCTTTATCATCATCTTCATGTTGAGGAAGCAATATCATTAACATGGGCGGACCGATTAAGAATTGCACTTGAAGTTGCTAGAGCACTGTCCTACCTACATTCATCTGCTTCAATGCCAATATTTCATAGAGATATTAAAACCGCCAACATACTTCTTGATGACAGTTTAGTTGCAAAGGTATCGGACTTTGGTGCTTCAAGGTACATCACAATTGATCAAACCGGAGTGACTACAGCCATTCAAGGAACAATTGGTTACTTAGACCCCATGTATTACAGTACGGGTCGGCTAACCGACAAGAGTGATGTTTTTAGTTTTGGTGTTGTTCTTATAGAATTGCTCACTAGAAAGAAACCTTTTCTCTACTGCTCTGACAATGGTGATGGCATTGTTTCACATTTTGCCTCACGACTTATAGAAGACAAACTGGTTGACATAATAGATCCTCAAGTCATGGAGGAAGAAGATGGAGAGATCATAGAAGTAGCCACACTTGCAACATTATGTACCAAATTAAAGGGAGAAGATCGGCCTACAATGAGAGAAGTGGAGATGACACTTGAGAATTTACTTTTTAAGAAGAAGCATCCCCCTTGTAATACATCATCAAGGAGATATGGTCAGAATAAAAATAGCTACAAACCAATGACTGAGCAGATTACCAATGAAGCAAGCAGACAATACACTATGGAAGAGGAAATCTTGTTGTCGGCGACATATGCCAGGTGATACTATGCAGTTCAAAGTTAGGATGCTTCATATATACAGAAATTCAAATGAATAGGAAGCCAATGAAAAATGTCACTTCCTTTGTTATCTTGTAAATTATAGTCCCAGTCTCTTTGTCAATAAATTTGTTTGAATGCTGAGTTTGTATAGTTCCATGAATGACCTCTATTAAGCTGATGGTTGTTCTACTAAATATTTGTCAATGTAACGTGAAATGTCCTCCCAAATTTTTATGGTTGTTCTATCAAGCTGATGGTTCTTCTCCTAATTTTTTATTGGGCCACCACAGGCCACACACTTTACTAAGGCGGGCGACTTAAAAGTTTGACTCCAAACCCTTTTAAGATGTCCATATCTATTAATTAATTTTTAGAGACATTTGCCTATTAGGCTAGCTGTCTCTGTAAATTGATCCAACACCTCTAAGAATTGATGACTGCTTAGGATATGTAGACAGTTTTGACCCACCTGTGTAAATAAAACGAGGTGTCTCCTAAAATTATTTTTTAATAGTTTTTGGTAAATCTAATTATTGACACTTTCGTACGTGAAGATTAGCGAACAGCTTACCACTGTAAGATCTAGTTTCTAACAAAAATAATGTCAATAGTTCGTTGGAGGTCTAAAGTAACATATATACTACACGTAAGTCCGAGTCAAGTCATCATCCCGGTCGTGTATGAGACTATGAGGCCACAAAGCTGGTGGTTTCGGGCCTAAACACACCTTTTTTTTAGATAATGGAATAAAGTTCTAGCCTCTACCATCTGGAGATAGTACACAGCCGGGGCCTAAACACACCTTTAGCGCTACGACTGAATCATGATCTTAATTGCTAAAACAGAGAATGGACGCTTCATATTTGTTTGGGTGTACAGTATAATAATCTGTCCTAGTTGCAAGGTTAAGGCCTTATTGTCTAAGTAACTAGCCAGTAGCTGCCGTATAATAAATTTATGTAATTAGTTTATTCTTGTCGCCCGATTTTGAATTCTATCAAATTTGTTGATGCTATATATATATCTTTGAACCCATTGCAATTTTGTTGTACCGTCAGCCTTTGTAATACGTAGTTTAATTTTCTGAAAGGTTAAAACTGACTGAGCTGTTAAAAATTCCAATGCGAAAGCAAAAATGAATGAAAAATCATAGGTTAATTATACTTCTGTTTTCATTTGTCTTATAATTAGATTATTTCAGCTTCGTAGCACTTATAGAGAATATTTGTAGGAACAGTTAGAATAAACTAGTAGGGAAAACTTCTAGAGATATGGTTGCCAAACACTCCCGTCGAAATCATTTTTCAGGAATTATAAGACCGATGTAAATATGGTAATCGTCTTTCACAAGTTGTGCAATTTTTCCATTCACGTGCTTCTCCCAAAATTTGCTTCTTCAACTATTCTTTGTTTGGTACTGCAAGCACTGTCTCAAATCATTACACTTTGTATCTACCCAAATGAAAACTTTTGTACTTGGGATCAGCCAACTTCTCCCTAATTTTCGGCTAAATCTTCACCAACTCGTTGCCCTTCCTTGATTTCCCTTAGCAAGTGAGATATCACTTGAAGCATTGCTAAGGAACTTTGCTAGACTAGAGGCAAATCCAACTTCTACATTTCCTTGCACAAGGAATCTTCATATCGGGCCACCCTGCAATCACAACTTGATTTGCAATTCAAGGTGTTGGCTACTCTGTTAGCCTTACACGGGTGGTATTGGATGTTCAAGTCATAATCTTTGATTAAATCTAGCAATCTTGGCCCCAGCGGCGACCATAACATCAGATGGGACACTTGCCCTGAAATTCCAAGTCCAGGTCGTCCTTCCACTAATACCATCGCTACCAGCTGGAATGCTTGTCCAACGCAAGAGAGATTTTCATTGTTCTTTGTGGAGCTACCAGTTGTTACAGTCTCAGCATAAAACTGTGTACCATCTCCAGAAACAAGCCCTTGCAGACCTCCGATACAACGATGTGCTCCACTGGAGTCCTACTAGCTCGCGCATGTGCTGTGCTCATGTGTTTGGCCGTCGTGGCGCGAGCACCGCCGGCCAAGGTCCATGCCGCCGGGACAGGGAATGGGCACCTTGGTATCCCTACCAATGCCTCCCTGGCGCACTGTCCCTCCTACTGTGGGGATGTCGAAATCTCGTACCCCTTTGGGATAGGACCGGGCTGCTTCCGGCAAGGCATCGAGTTCGAGCTCAGCTGCGACAACACAACTGGTTCTCCCAGGCTGTTCCTAGGAAACTCAACTCAGGTGACTTCTATAGATGTCGGCAGCAATATGGCTTATTCTTCTGCTATTGGCTACAATATCACCATGGGCTTAGGTGTGGACACCTACACTCAATCCTGGGAGGCCCCTACTGGTGTTGTTATTGATTATGAAAACAGTATATATGTAGTTGGATGTGGTGTCGACATCTACATGTTCGGTGATAATACGACAGATGTCATTGGTTCTTGCATGAGTATTTGCACAGATAACAGAGAGATCATGGAGAGGGCAAACAAGGGCTACGGTGCCTGTGAAGGGTTTGGCTGCTGCGCCATCAGGTGGTCATTAGCGGGCCGGCAAGCATTTACTCTCAAGCTTGGCCGCCGCAATAGTAACAGGGAAATTCCGTAATAAAATTTAACTGGCACTCTGCGATTCCTTTCCGCCCAAATGCACCAGCATAAAAGAATGAAGAAGTCCATGAAGAATGGGATGTTGAACTGGACTTTGAACAATTCCAGATCTTAAAATCTTGAGCACAAACTTGTGGGAAGTGAAAATTGGTAATGCTCAACTAGGAGCTTCTAGCAAAGAGCGTGCATGTAGAGGTGCTCCAGAATTTCTTGAGAGCAAATTGTGCATAGGGCACAATCGAAGTTGTCCAAGTACATATTTTCTACAGTGTGCTCTACCTTTTTCGTTAGAGTAGAAAAAAAGTACCAAGGCCACATACTTGGCCCTTCAACCCGACCCTCTCTGATTAAACAAAAAACACAGAACATCTTAAAAATAGATTTAGCTCACATCATGGATAGTAACTCGTGAGAAGACTTATATAACGACGGTCAAGCAAGCCCCACTAGTTTTTGCTACAGAACAAGCGAGCTATAAAAATGAATTACTTCCGAGGTTTCTGTTGACGGCTACCTTACCTGTGCCTGCGGGAACAGGTAAGCCCGTGGCGGTGGTTTCCAGTCTTTTCATGATATAAATTCTTCCTGTTATCGCTAGCTGTACCTGTAAGGATTGCAATATATGTAGACTCAACGAGCAATAGCTTTATTAGTACATTTCTTTGTTTATTAATTTTTCTATAAAAAATAGATATAAGATTATGAAACATCTCAGTTGCTGGCATCTTTTATGGTAACTCGAGAGAAGACTTTACAGGTCAACACCGATAACAATAGCTAGACATTTCAAACTTTTGTGAGAATTTGTAGAATTTATCCTTTCTAGCACATGTCTTAAGCGAATCGACACGACGTATCTTGTGATAGTTGCGTGAAGGAATCTTCCTGTTAGTAACAGTAACTCTAAACTCATGGCTTTTCTCTCGTTTTTAGGCACGGAGATCGAGAACAAGGACATCATTGTTTTCATTAATACATACAGAAAAGACAGGAGGAATAGTGGAGTACTCCACATCTCCCTCGGCAAGTCTTCTTGGTCCAGCGACGACCGTAACATCAGATGGGACACTTGCCCTGAAATTCCAAGTCCAGGTCGTCCTTCCACTAATACCATCGCTACCAGATGGAATGCTTGTCCAACGCAAGAGAGATTTTTATTGTTCTTTGTGGAGCTACCAGTTGTTACAGTCTCAGCATAAAACTGTGTAGATCGACACAGTACGCCACTCACCGCACCATCCAACATCTGACCATCTCCAGAAACAAGCCCTTGCAGACCTCCGATACAACGATGTGCTCCACTGGAGTCCTACTAGCTCGCGCATGTGCTGTGCTCATGTGTTTGGCCGTCGTGGCGCGAGCACCGCCGGCCAAGGTCCATGCCGCGGGGACAGGGAATGGGCACCTTGGTATCCCTACCAATGCCTCCCTGGCGCACTGTCCCTCCTACTGTGGGGATGTCAAAATCTCGTACCCCTTTGGGATAGGGCCGGGCTGCTTCCGGCAAGGCTTCGAGCTCACCTGCGACAGCACAACTGGTTCTCCCAGGCTCATCTTCCAGCTGGGAAACAACTCGACTCAGGTGACTTCTATAGATGTCGGCAGCAATTATGTTTGGGCTTCTGCTGTTGGGTACAATATCACCATGGGCTTAGGTGTGGACACCTACACTCAATCCTGGGAGGCCCCTACTGGTGTTGTTATCGATTCTATGAACAGTATATATGTAGTTGGATGTGGTGTCGACATCTACATGTTCGGTGATAATACGACAGATCTCATTGGTTCTTGCATGAGTATTTGCACAGATAACAGAGAGATCATGGAGAGGGCAAACATGGGCAGGGCAAACATGGGCTACGCTGCCTGTGAAGGGTTTGGCTGCTGCACCATCTGGTCATTATTAGCGGGCCGGCAAGCATTTACTCTCAAGCTTGGCCGCCGCAATAGTACGATTGCACTGTTAGATGAGGCGCTCTCTAGTATCAAGTTCATCTTTTCGGAATACTATCACTTCGTTATAGGTGATCTTTACGCAAGTTGGGTGAATACAAGCAATGTTCGAGATATGGTACTTGACATTGCAATCACGGACCAACCAAGCTGCGCAAGTGCCCAATCCCAAGAGAACAATGATACCTATGCATGTAATAGTGAAAGCATCTGCAAGGATCTACCAGTATCTCGAGGAGGCTACAATTGCTTCTGCCCTGGTCAAATGGAAGGCAACCCCTATGTTGTAGATGGCTGCATAGGTTCGTGTGCCTCTCTCTGCTTCTTTTTTCGCATGACTTAATATTTTAAAGTGGCATGTAGACATTTTCTATATTTATTGCATTATCTCTATTATAACCAATCTGAAAGCACCCACAAATTTTGTCACACATGCATGTGGATTATATTGTTGTGTTACTCAAGATTAAAATAATGTGTTGTTCCCTGCACTTGCAGTATTTATTGTCATACATATCAAATGCCTTTGCTGCTGAACTAATTAAACTGGCTAGTTTATTCGTCTCAAATAATAAATGACTTACTACTTTCCTTGGATTAATCCTAATTCCTCACTTTGTGTACCATGAAGCAGATTACAATCCAAAGGCACCCAATGACAACTGTACGAGATTATGTGGAAACATAACCATTCCATTTCCTTTTGGGATTGAAGAAGGCTGTTTCGCAAATGATAACCTACGACTCAACTGCACAAGTAACACCACTACTATTCTAGATCGACGGTACGCACAATATCGTGTGACCGATTTATCACTCGATGATGGGCTTATGACGGTTACAAACATGCTGAATGACACAAGCTCCAACAATATGGAGAGAGTAGTCATCACTAACTTTGATGGCCAATATCAAAGTTTCTTTACAGGTTACACGAAGGTTGTGGACGATAATTTTGATTTCTCTCAGGAGGATGTAGTAATAAAATGGGCTATAGCAAATATAACTTGTCAGAAAGCTATGTTGAATAAGGCTACATATGCGTGCATAAGTGACAACAGTTTCTGCAAAGAAGTTATGCGAGGCAAAACACATGATGGGTACCGCTGCAAGTGTTCCGATGGCTTTCAAGGAAATCCGTACCTTAAAAATAGTTGTACAGGTTATATTTCTCTCTTATATAAACTTATTTGCACTAAGTTTCTTGTTTCTCTAATACTAATCTATCTAATCGTGCTATTACACATGCTAAATTTTAAGAGACAAAAATATTACAAGTTATGGAAACGATCTTCAACTAATTGCTTATTTTTTCTCTCTATGGTTGTGATACACTTGGGGCGTACCTGCCATAGAAAATGGGGACTAGCCCACCGAACTGAACCAACCAACTCAGCCCACCATCCCTCATGGGTGTAATTGGTTATAACCAGTTGTAGTTGGTCACGACTCACAATTGGGGCCAGGTTGCAACTAGTCACAAGTCACAACTGGAGTCTAGTTACAACTGAGCTATGACTGGCTTAGGGTCTGTTTGGATGGACTAGAACTAGTGATTAGCTGACTAGTGATTAGCCCAGCCCTATTTGGATCCACTCGCTAATAAGTAGTACCATCTCAATACAGAGTCTGTTATGCCCCTGAGTTTGTCTTCTCCAATGTTCTCCCGGATCTAGCTAGAGGCGTCCGCGAGCTGGGGGGCCTCGGCGGCCGGCCGGCTGGAGGCCATAGGCATGGGGGCTGCACCGGATGGCCTCTTTGGAGGCGGCGGTAGTATGGTTGGAGAAGAGCGGGTGGTGGCGGCAACCGGAGAAGAGGGAGAGGTGCGGGTCGAGGTAGGGGGCAGCGCCGGCCATGTGTCCTCGCATGCAACGGCCATGTGTCATGGGTTCTCGTGCACACCGAAGAAGAGGGAGAGGAGGTGCGGGTCGCCTCGGAGCCTCGCACGCGCCGGAGAAGAGGGACTGACTCTAGTCGTCGGGGCCGAATGGAGCAGCGACTGGTGAGCAGGGCCATAGCAGAGCGCCGAGACCGCGGGGATGACTGCGGGACAAAGGGGAATGGGTATGGTGCGTTGCGGATAGGGTACGCGTGGGAGTATCGGTGTCTTTTTTCCACGGCAGGTGAAACTTTGGCCCCTGGTAGTTAGACCCTATGGACTAGTGAGCTAACAACTAGTTGGGGCTTTGGCTAAACTTTAGCCCACCCATTAGTCCACATGTTTAGATCCTCAAGGGATAAAGTCTAGCAACTATTTGTTAGCCCAAGGGATCAAACAGGGCCTCAGTTGGTTACGATTCGTGACTAAGCCTACTTGCAACTGAGTTGTGATTGGTTGCAGCTAATTGCAACTAGCTCAAAAGTCAAAACCTAAAAGAATAGAAGGTGTGGGTTACGTAGGCCACCTGGGGGCACACGGTTGGAATACGTGGATGGAGTGCTGGTTATGGTGGGCGCATCCACTATCCACAATGTATCCGGGCTCATTTAGCCTTACTATATAGTTTGCATTGTATTCTCTAGTAGTCATGATAGTTACTATATAGCCTTACTATATAGTTTACAATGTAGTTACCAATTAATTGTTTTTCCATCCATATTCATATTTCCCATGTGCATCACACCTTAGGTGAATTTTAATGTGATTAGTTGTAACTTTAGCTTGAGTTATGCTAGGTCTGGTTGTATCCCGCGTGTCATGACTCTAATGCTTATCAATATTCGTTTAGTTGCTTCAAATTTTTGTATCCTCATGTTAGATTGAAATTGTCAGTGTTTCATCTCACTGACAAGTAAAGTTTTGTGTCACACATGAGTTCTGATGGGGAGAGACAAAGTATTATATTGGTTTTGGTGATTGAGCCCTACATCCAGTGTGGGAAGCAGAGTTCTATTGTTGTGCCCAAGTGCTTGGAGTTCGGGTAGCACTATCATAGAACAATTTTTTTAGAGATGGGCATAACAGATTTTTGGAGGCAGACTACCCACCTGCCTTTGCTAAGGGTCACAATCAGTTAGTAATTACAGAGGTGGTGGTTATGCTCGTCTCTACAAAACGAAGGAAAAATAAAAACTCAGCCTACGGGCTTAGTCCAAGCCCGGAGATCCGCCACTGCCAGACCACCGGCCGTCCATCAAGGTCGTCCTCGGAAATTCGCCGCCTAAGCCTGTCGACCGTCCTCAGAGATCCAAAGTTGCCAAGCTCACCCGGCATCCTTGCCACCATCCGTGGAGATCCACTGTTCATCCTCACCTTCGTCTCTAGATATTGAAAGCATAGATACAGCTATTGTCAATTCCCACTATGAGCCCAATCGACCTCCCCACTCATTCTCCCTACTTGTCCTCCCAGCCATCCTCCTAATCCATCCTCCCCACTCATCACCCCAGGTCATCCTCGCCGTTGTCAATTCCCACTGTCGAGACCATTACAAACAAAGTGACGGAGACAGAGATAGAGTCTGAGGGTTGGAGGGAGAGAGGTCATCACTCATACCTTCAATATGGTGGGCGACTTGGTTGGTCCATCGCGCACTTTTCCTAGATCCGCATGGCGACGACCTCCGCCTCCTAAGTTCTCGTTGTCGCTCTGTATCCTTGTATTCAATGCATGATCAAGCCTCCATGGGTGGATCGCCGCCCCCCTCCGCTTAGATCCAAGATAGCCATGAGCCCCATACGCCGCCGCAATCACAAGCATAACCATGGAGCATAGGCGGTCATGAGCTCAAGCCGCCATCGCTGCAAGCATAAGTGCTCAGATCAAAGATGGTGGAGGGGCGTTGGTCGAGGAGAGAGCCAAGAAATGAGAGAGAGAGGCGTGTGGGAGAAACGAAGAGAGGTGGTTACGGGAGCATCCAACCCCTAAGTTTGGTGTGCGTGTGTGTGTATACATGCGAACAAAGTAATGGGCCTAGCTTTGGGCTTTTTCGGCCTATTTCCTAAGGTGGACCTCTTATCCTTTGAAAATGTTATCTAGTTTTAGAGGCGATCCTTTTAAGAGGCTTGCCTCTAGAAATAGATGTATAGAGACATTTCTTTTTCTACCTCTATAATTGGTTTGATTGCCTCAGAATCACACGGTACTTTGGGAGATCAGAACACTTTATGCCCACCTCTGTTAATCAAGAGGCCGGTCTCCCAAAATAATTTTTGTAGTAGGTAGGGATGTGTTACAAGAGGTTGTGTGTAACCTATGTGGATTGCTCCTCGTTGCCTCTGGTTGGGCTCCCGAACCCCTTTATATAGTCAAGGGATGTGGTTTACATGTCTGAGTGAGTTGGCGGTGATCTCCCCATGCTTGGTGTGGTCTTATTGGACTAGCGGCCCCATGTGTCACTCGTCTAACTTGTGTTTTGGGTGATGTTCTTCTTGACAAGCAGAACAATTAGGGGCTATTTTCCTTTGTCAGCTCATATGGAAGATGTCCATGATTGTTTTGTTGGATTCAACAAATAGGCATAGTATTTTCCCCATAGAGGTTAGGTGGGTGGCGACAAGGTTTGTACAAGTGTGTTGCACACTCTGCACCATCCGATATTGTGCCCAATGTACACCGTACTAGGTCAAGCAGAGAGGGGTGTTGTATCCCTTTAAGGATGTCATCAACTCTATCCTTTGGTTTTGTCCTTTGTGCTCCTAGCTTGTTCGAGTATCGCATAGTGTTCCACTCGGACCCTTAGTCAGGCTGATGTCTGAGGAGCCCTAGATCCCTTTAGCTTCTAATGCACAGTCCTTAATTCATTTGGCCAAATGAATTACCCAGAGGCATCGGCGACAATCGCTTAGACACTAATTGTGTTGGTATGGACACCTAGAGTACATACCTTCATCAAAATCTCTAGTGCTTCTTATTGTGCCATTTTATTCAAAATGTTCCTTTCATATTTGGTTCAATTATGGATTGAAGGTTCTAAATTGAACTTTCTAAGTATCTCTATCAATAACTCTAGCCTGGGCCCTCTATTTGCCTGAGAGAGGACTTCCTTGATTTCTGGTGGCCTGGTTATATTGTTACTCCAATAATATCCTAAATCTCAATGCTCATTTTATTTGTGATGTGTGGAAGCCGCTTGCCAGTGGCTCATCATTTCTTTTTTCCCTTTTTATTTTCACATTTGCCTCCTCTCTGCTTTTTGATCAGTGGAGGTGCCACACCAGTTGCGAGCTTAGCACCAAGAAGGGAGAGGAGGTAATCACCGGAGATGAATAGAAAACGATAAAATAAGGAGAACGATCAGATCTTTCTAGAGAGGGTATGTCAGCGAGGGTGAGGGGTCAGATCTACAGCCTGTTCGCTTGCTCGTAAACGATCGTAAATTTCCAGCCGGGAACAGTGTTTTTCTCTCACACCAAACCAGCCAGCAGTAAATAATCCACGATACGACACGGCCTGCCGAACAGGCCGCTAGCTTGTGATGGGACATAGTTGCTGAGACAATTGAGTATGCGCCATTTGCTCCTGGCACCGACATGCATGAGAGAGGTCTCAGTAGGTGGGAGGAAGGGTCAAGAAGGGACTGAGGTTGCTAGATTTGATTGCAACCTCGAGGTGACAATGGTCAGGAAGAAGGCACATGGTGGTAGCCTGGTTGGGTAGAGAGAGTAGAGGGAATTGGGCAGGTAGACGGCGGTGGGTAAAAAAATAGAAAACAAAATGTAAGGCAACCTACTTGACCCTAGGGAGAAGGGGTGAGTGGAGGGATTTGGGGGCCTCTCAGATTTGAGAGCTTGAGTAGTTGGACCGCTGGACCTTTTTTGTTTCCAACCCTCAGATTTAGGGTAGGGTTGGGTTTAGTGGACCCGCTAGAGATGCTCTAGGTTTCTCCAATAATACATACAATTGTTCAGTGTGCCTTCAACAATAGCATATACAATTGTTTAGCCTATTTCTCAAATAGCATATACAATTGTTCAGCCTACTGCTCAACGCTTAAGATGTTGAATTTTTTCTAAGGATTATGTGTTGAGTAGTATACCTTTTTAAATCACAAATGCTTACAATTGGACTATAAATGTATATATGTCATAATTTTTTAATTGAGATGTATGAATTGTCTAATGTAGAAACTCACATAATTTAATTTTGTAAATTATTAATATAATTTAAGTACATTATTAGTGTCACTGTGTTGATAAGGAAATATTTTTTGTACTTGTTAA